GATCTATGGAGTTATTTCCAAGACATACTGCTAATTCAAAAAGGCAATGCACAAAAGAGAATTTATATTGCCCAAAACCCATAATTCCAGTTTCACCATGAAAACATCAGACAAACACAAACTGAGAGAATTCTACAAAACACCCGACTAGCACTCCTCAAAACTATCAAGGTCATCATAAATTAGAAAGAGTAACATGGCCATAGGATCCTGGTACAAAAGTCATTGGAGGAAAAACTGGTAAAATTCTAATAAAGTCTATAGTTTAGTTAGCAAGACTGGTCCAATGTTAAGATAAGCAGAGTACAGTAAGCAACTTTCGAACTCAGGACACTTACTGACTGAAAGAAACTGGGCTGTGCATTTAGCTGACTGGGGCTCAAAAATGAGGAGGCAGGAGGGGAGAAGGTGACAGAAAGCAAAGCCTGTGGCAAGCTCAGAGTGGGACATTTAAAGGAGACCCTTTCCATACAGACTTGGGATCTTCCCACCCCCGCCAGGGAGTAACATCTCAGAGTGAAGGCAAACTGAAGTAAACCTGTCACCAAGTCACCCTCCAAAGGGGACTGAGGGAAGCGTTGCCTTGGAGCCGAACAAAGTGGGTTGAAAGGGGTGGCTCAGGGTGGGATGAAAGAAACTTCTTTAAGGGGTTATAAACTTGGGAAAACGACTCCTGAACATTTGCTCTCAGACAATTAGTTTAGTTTACGGAGGTTCTAAACAAGTTGTGCTTTCAGGCCTTAGCAGAAACAAACTCAAATCCTCTTTCAAAGAATACAGTTTCATGCCAAGACTTGGGAAATCCCCACAAATAATTTTTTAAAGGCAATGAGAAGCTATGCAGTCAAACGTAATGAACGAAAGGAAGTAAAGAAACACGAAAAATACCATCAAAACAATAGCAGAGAGAGTTCCACAAAGTCTTGGCATATGGAATTATCAGAGGCAGATGATGAGTGAGTGCGCTCACTCTTCATGAAGGAGTCAAGAGGACAGCCACGGTATGAATGAAAGATATCTAGAGGATATGATTCACAAATTTATACTAATACATTTGAAAATTTAGGCAAAATAAACTTCTGGGGAAAGAGCGCAACAAAATTGACTTAAGGAAAATAGACAATTTTGACAGAACTATAACCATTACACTGAATCATAGCCAGAAATGCTTTACAAAACAAAATAAAACTCTCTCTTCTGCCCACCTTCCTTCCATCTCTCCCCCCACCACCCTCTCTCTTTTCAAGTCTGGAAGGCTTCCATGGTCAGTTCTATCAATCACTCTAGGAAGAAATATTCCAATCTCATAAAAACACTTCCAGAGCATTAAAAAAAGAAAAAGAAAATATGCGAGAAGCAAACAACTTAACTCATACTATGAAGTCAACATAACCTTGACAGAAAATCTCATGAGGACAGTACAAGAAAGAAATTTATGAGCTAATTTGCCCCATTAATATAAATTAAAAACCTATATAAATTATTAATAAACCAAATTAAAAAATATAAGGATACTTCATCATGACCATGTTGGGTTTATCCTAAAAACACAAGGTTGCTTTAACTGTACAATATAATAATAAAGACACAAAGGGACGGAAGTTAAGACCACATATATGAACATGCCTGTATTTCCTCAAAGAAGCACTTGAAGGATAAGCAAAAACACAGGTGAAAGGGAAAAAGGTGAAAGAGAGGCTTTTAAGATATGTGAACATATTACTGATTTTTAAATTTAATGTAAAAAGTAAATCAATGCAATTAATCACATTAACATAGTAAGAGTAAAAACACACAAACAGCTTAACAGATACAGAAAAAGCATTTGATAAAATGTAGTATCCATTCAATACTAAGAAAACTCTTAAGAGTTTTATATTCAGTATTAAAAGTTTTCTTAATAATATATTCAATATATTGTTATATATATTCAATATATTAAGAGTTTTCTTAATATATGAATATACTAGGACTAGAGGGGAACTTTCTTAATCAGATAAAAATATATCCATAAAAAAGAAACAAACTACTATCGCATTATTTGAGAAATATTGTAAATAATCCCTCAATTAGGAACGAGGACGAAATACCCACTATTACTTCTATTAAACATTATAGTTGAGGCTCTATCCAAGGCAGTAAGGCAATAAAAAAAAAAACAAATAACAGTTATAAGGACTGAAAATAAATGAAAATTGTCCTCTTTGCAGATAATATGATCATGTATATAGAATGAACCTATAGATTATTAGAATATGTAAGGAAATTTAGAAGATAATATATAAAAGTTAATCATATTCCTAAATATACAATTAGAGAACAAAAATAAAAACCTTTTTTACAATACTGTGAAATTTAAGTATCTAGGAATAAATTTCACAATGTTGTACAAGATCTTTCAGAAAGAAAATTATAAGACTTTATTGTAAGGCAATAAAAAGACCTAAATAAATGTTTAGAAAACTTCATGCTACAATGATATTATTCATATATTGGTTGATAAATTCAATACAATACAGAAAATGTCTTGCAGGCTTATTTCATATAACTTAATAGTATGAGTCTAAGACATGTAAATGACCAAGACTGGCTGAGACACTCTCCTAGAAGAACAAAAGGGAAGAACTTGCTCTACCACATGAAGACATGTTATAAAGCTACAGAAACTAGCCCTGGCTGGCGTAGCTCAGAGGATTGAGCGCAGGCTGTGAACCAAAGTGTCACAGGTTCCCTTCCCAGTCAGGGCACATGCCTGGGTTGCGGGCCACAGCCCCCAGCAACCGCACATTGATGTTTCTCTCTCTCTTTCTCCCTCCCTTTCCTCTCTAAAAATGAATAAATAAAATCTAAAAAATAAATAAATAAAAATAAAGTAGGTTCATCTTCTTTAAAAAAAAAAAAAGCTACAGAAACCAAGAAAAGCATGTTCACAGAGGGACATAAGAATAGATCAATAGGGCAGAATTTAAAAAGCCACGAAACACATACACACACAAATGGGCCCTTGATAAATGACATGACAGGTGGCAACTGGCTTGGGAAAAATGAAATTGAGCCCCTACTTCACCTACACAAAAATCAATACTAAGTTGAATAACACACAAAAGCACTAATGATAAGGGAAATTCTTGACAAATTCTACTACATTAACATTCAAGGCACAAATTTCTAAAAAGAGAAAACAGAGTAGATGATACTTGCAACCCATATAAACAACAAAGTCAGAAATAAATGTATAAAAACTCCTGTACATTAATGAGAAAAAGATAGACAACCCAATAGAAAAGTAAGCAAAAGACCTGAATGGGCACTTCAAAAGAAGAAACACAAGATACTCAAAGTTGTCAGTAACCAGAGGAATGCAAATTTAAACCACAAGATACCATTCATTATTCACAAGACTGCGAAAATTAAACATTCTGTAAAAGCAAGTCTTGGTGAAGATACAGAACAAGATCTCTCAAACACTCTTCATGGCAAAGCAAATCGGTACAACCACTTTGGAAAATAGTGGGCAACATCTGGTAATATTAGATATTCATAGTCTATGATCCCAAAATTACACTCTTAGGTTTATAATTTCATTTAAATATATGTAGATGTGCATTGGAAGACACAAACAAGAACGTTTATACCAACATCTTTAAATAATGCCCAGAAACTCCAGAATCTGGGAATCAAGTGTTATTGACAGTATAGGTAACTTATGGCATATTCATAAGATGAAATCCTATACAACAATGAAAATGAACAAACCACAGCCACCTACCACCAGATGAATCTCACAAATACAATGTTGAAAAAAGGGAAGTAAAACCCCAAAGAATGCATGATAACAACATACCAATTTGCCAAGTTCAAATAAGTTTAGGAATGCATACATCTGTGGTAAAGTATAAAGATAAGCAGGCACATTATCATTGCAAAAGTCAGGTCAATCGTTACTTAAGGGGAAGGGAGATGGTTACAACCAGAAAAGGGCATGGGGCTTTAATACTGCTCATGCTCTACTTCTTAATGAGTGGAGGTTCTATCAGTATTTGCTTTATAATTACTTGTTAGACTGGACATATATTTTTACACACTTTGTGTATTTTACAATAAAAAAGGGAAAATCTTAATAGAGGGATTTTCATTATCAAAGTATTTGTTATCTCAGTGCCAGCAACGGCAAGGTTACTTATGGAATCAAAAGGGGTCCCAAGATGCCAACATTCACTAACGGAACTCATCACTTAATAAACTGATCACTCCACTCAACCATTCCTCCCTGGTTAATGCCAGCAGTTTCTCTCACTGACTGTATACATCCACAATTTAATAAAAGGCAAGTCATTTGCAAATTCATTCATTCAACAAATATTTATTAATGTCTACTACGTACTTTCCAAACACCGTTCTAGGGGACCAGAAAGTCCCCCTTACAAAAGATGGAGGACTGGGGACCCCCACTCTCATCCCAATTGTGCCTCTATCTGCTCATCCTCCCTTCCAAACAAGTATCAAACACGAAGTATCTAAAAGGAAGTTAGTGCACCCATGAAGTTATCATCAAAACCCAAACCTTGGGAAATCTTGACGTGCTTGGATTCATTTGGCAAAACCATGGTTTCCCATGTTTCCAAGCAGGCAGAGGTTGCCTATCAAGAGCTCTAAGTCAGGGCATGAGTCTCCATAATGGTGTTGCCGTGGGAATCGGCTTAAGTGGGGTCAAAACTCCCAAGAAATGCTTTAGTTGGGATGCAGAGACCAGAGGCTTGCAATTCTCTAGGCACTGTCTACTGGATTTCGTGTACACGTGTATTTCTTGGGTCAGAGTTCAGAACTTTCATCTGACTCTCTGAGGTCAACCAAAAGGTCAACAAGCCCTGCTTCCAACAAGCTGAATAATGAGCTTCTCGGGGACATGAAGAAAGTGAACATGGCCACAACCACGCCACCTGAGTCAAAACACAGGCGTCCTCACCTCTAGGCCTATGTTCTGAATGTCCAATACTTACTCTTAGCTCTTCGAAGGCTTCGTCTAAGGTGGAGAGCTGGTGGCCCTGGTGAGCCCCAATGACCGGACACAGGACACAGATGAGCTGTTTATCTTCCTGGCAATAGGTGCTCAAATCAAGCCCATGGTCCGGACACTTCCTCTTGGCCACTCTCTCTGCTTCCATTTCTATTTCTGGGTCAAATTCACTTTCTGCCTCAGTTTCTCCCTCGGCCTCAGATTCTCCTTCTTCACGGTTGTCTTCCTCCGCCTCGCTCTCTTGCTCATCCTCCATCTCTTCCTCACTGTCTTCTTCGCTCTCCTCATCGCTCTCCTCCTCACTCTCTTCCTCCGTCTCGCTCTCTTCTTCGGACTCACTGTCCTCCTCGGACTCCTCGCTCTGCTCCCCCGCCTCGCTCTCTATCTCTCTCTCATTCCCCAACTGGGCCTCCACGCCTTCCTTCCCCTGGCCTTCCTCCTGGACTCGGGAGGTCCAGGCCTGGGCAGCGCCATGGACGTACTCTGCCAGGTGGTGCCCTGGGAACTTCTGCCTGTGCACCTCTGCGTGGCGGCGGCAGTAGCAGAAGCCGCATTCTCGGCACACTTCCTCCGCCCCGGGAGCCTCGTCGGGCTCGCACTGGTCACACGTGCCATCGTGCGGCAGCTCCTCCAAGGCCGCGCCCCCTCCGGAGGCCATGTGGGTGCGGGGACGAGGCCCAGGTCGTGGGGCCTCGGAGCTCGCCTCCTGGCCTTCGCGGTCCCCTCACGTCCTCCTCCCCACCCGGTCCTGTCCCAGGGAGTCGCAGCCCCCACTTGGGCTGTGCGGTGTTTCCGTGCGGGCCGCGGCTGCGCCGCCTGCTCCCTGCAGCCCGCACCCGGCCAGGGAAAAGAGGGCCTTCCCGCCGGCTGAAAGCTCGGCGCCGGCAGTGCTTCCTTGGGCCGCCCGGCCACTTCCGGCGCGGCGGCCCGTGCCCCTGTCGGCCCCCACGCCGCACACCCCGCTCGGCCTCTAGGTACCCCGGCGAGATCACGGCGCCGCGGCCCCCGCCGCCCCGGTTCCACTTTCCCTTTCCCTGTCAGGCGGGATCCTTTCACTTCCTGAGTCATTTAAAGTGGCAATGGCCCTTTTCTGCGACTCCCACGGGGGCTCCGCATCCCCGGAAGGAGGGGGAGGATGGATGAGGCCTCCCTCTCACGCCAGCGTGGGGAATTGGGCCCCGCCTACCCCACTTCCTCCCTAGAGGTGTCAACCCCACTTGTCAAGGCCACTAGGCAGGTGTACGTGTGTATTTCAGTCTCTCTCCCATTTGTCGCTGATTCCCCCCCATCCCCCAAGTCCCTGCTGCTGCGTGCTCTGGAAGGTGCCAGGACCGAGTGTTGTTTACCAGAATGAACCCGAGAGCCTGGGATTTCCAGAGGGCCCTGGGAAGAATTGTGTTTGTTCTCCTAGGCTCAGGGAATCTCAGAGTCAGCTTGAGCAAACAGACATTTTCGATCCAAAGCAATACTATACTTTGTCTATTTGCAAAGTCTATTTGCATCCTGCTTCCGAGGGGCTCAGAACCTATAGGGTGACAACCTTTGTACCTTTGTACCAGAGCCTGCTATGGATATGACTGAGATCTGAGGTGAGGTAGCTGGAGAGACAGTATTGATCAAACAAGAGTTCCAGTGTGCAGTCATTTTCCCTTATGTAAGGAGACTGTTTATGTTCAGATTGGGTTCCAAAGAGAGGATGGGGACTGTTACTTATTAACCAATACTAAAGTGCCAAGAATTGGGCTAGATCTTTTTGTGGCTCTTTACAAGGGTTTTTGGAAATCCACTGCCCAAAGGCTCCCAAATCTTGATAATACAACTTGTTGGCTTTGTGACCATGGAGAATTTAATTGATCTTCCTGTTTTCTGCTTTTAAAAAAAAGTATGTATATTAAGTTGAAATCATGGTAATACCTATTTCATGAGGCTGTTCTGTGGATGGAATGTGAAGGTGCTGCCTTGTAGAAGTATTCACTATACTTTAACTATTATTACTGGTACGGATTATGTTTAATGGACATAATGACCCTTTGAAAGGTTTTAAACATATTTTTTAACACATTAAGCATTTTTTGGCCGGCTGCTGGTAGTGTAATCAACCCCCCAGCTCTACCTGATATCTGTGCCCCTCCGGTCATTGAAGAGCTTTTGTTTTGTATTCATGAGAGAAAAAGGACGTTCTAACCTATTGCCAGGAGAGGCTGCGATGTGGTTGAGAAGAATGGTGTCTGTTTTCCATGGACTCCCTTGGACAATTTTGAGCTTGAATTTCCAGATGAACATCACAAAAATGGCAGAAGATGGGGTGGTATAAAAATCATTTAAATAATTTTTAGTGTCTCCACATATAATGTATACTTGCTCTCTGTGCAGTGTTTGTTAGAGATTTATTTTTTTTCCTTAGAAATCTTTCATTTTTTATAACCTCAGAACAATTCTATAAAGTGTTGGGGAAAAAGAAAGAAGGATTTTTCTCCCCCCAATTCAATACACATTTCTATGTTTTTCCAGTTCATTTCCCTGGAAATTATTTCTATGTCTGCATTGAAAACAAGGATTGATGCACCATTCTGAAAAAAATATTCAACAAATGTCAACTCAAACATCAACATTAGTACACCTAGAGAACTGTGTTTCTTGCTTGAAGAAACACAATTCTCTAGGCATACTAATTTCTACCTCTCCAAGCTTAAAAGGAAATAGTTTTTACAAACATAATGTTATAACATTTAGAATTTTTTTTCACTGAAAACAATTTTTTAATGTCTTAAAACAATCTGTGTGTGTGTGTGTATCCCAGATCTTTGGTGGGGATGGAAGGGTGTCTTTTTTTCGTCATTGTTGTTGTTACTGTTTGTTCTTAGTTTTACCTGACCGAGAGTGAAAATACCATTCTCTGCAGTTCAGTATCTGACACTTCCCATTCCTCTTTTGAGCCTTCTGTGATAACAGGATTTAGAGGCAGAAGCTGATGGAACCGCTGGAAAGGGACTTTATAAAGTTCTGGTCATGAGGTATGGCAGACTCCATGAGACAGACCTTCTGTAATCCTTTGCACAGAAGTCAGAACAGTCTGGTTCCCCAGGAATTGGAATCTTTGGGAGCATCCAGAGATCGGAGCCTTGTTATAGTAACCTATTATTGCATAGAAAGTTGCCTGAAAACATAGTAGCTTAAGCAATAAACATTTATGATCTCACACATTCTGTGAGCCAGGAATATGGGAGTGGCTCAGCTGATTGGTCTAACTCAAGGTATTTTAAAACATTTCAGTGAAGATGTTGGCTGGACCTATAGGCATGACTTTAAGGCATGACTTTCAGGATTCACTTTTAAGGTGGCCCACTTATGCAGCTGTTGGCAGGAAGACCACTTTCTATTGGTTTGCTTTAGTGTCCTCATGACATGGCAGTTGAATTCTCCCAAAGCAACTGATCCAAGAGAGGGCAAGATGGAAGATTCAATGTCTTATGACCTAAGCTCAGAAGTCACACATCATTTCCAAAACAGTCCATTAGTTACAGAGATCAGCTCTATTTGCTGTGGGAGGGGACTATGCAAAGAGCATGAATACCAAGAGACAGGGATCTTTGGGGCCATCTTTGAGGCTGACTACCATATTTTGCCCTTTTGCCTTCAACTATTCACATCTCTCTCAAATGTAAAACACATTCACTTCCACCTAAGATCCTCAATGTCTCAACCCATTACATCAGTTTAAAGTACAGAGTCTTATCTAAATCAGGTCCAGGTGTGGATGAAGCTGCTCGGTGTAATGTCTTAAATGCAGCTCCCCGAGTATAGTTCCTCTCCATCTGAATACTTGTTTTCCTCCACAGTACCAACATACAATGATGAGACAGGCTTAGAATAACTGGCACAGACACTCCTGTTCAAAGGGAGACAAGATACCACAGGAATCCTGAAATTCAGTTGGACACATGTCAGAAGTTCCTCAGAGCTCAATTCTACTTCTGCTCAGGAATGACTTTCCATGGCTTTTGACTTCACCCTTTAAGCTCTTAATTCCGTTCTCTGAGTCATCCTTCCTTTTCTATAAAAAGTAGACCATGTTTGCAGCTATATAATTTGTCGGTCTGCTTTCTGCCAGTAGAATATAGGCAATGTAAAGGCCCCTTTGAATTTTGTTCTGTCTCTGTTCCGTTTAGTCCATGCTGGCATTGTCTCTGCCAATATAATTCCTTTAAAAATGTTGTGAGTCACCTATGAATCTAATTGGGCCACTGCTTCATTGGACAAAAATCATATCCCAAAGTGTACTGTGGAGGGTCCCCCTCCTGAAACTGCTCAGGTACAACACTAATAAGCTTCTTATTACCATTTTGTCTGAATGATTCTCTGAATCACTGCTGTAGATCTTTTTGAGGTGTGAACAAAGGGGTTTACAGCCACGCTCTTAGCTCCATCATTTGATATGTTTTCCTTGCAGCTTCCTGGAGTTTATTTTTGACTGGAAGCCATTTCTTCATTTTAGCATCATCATTTAAAGAACATGGGAATATTCAAATCTAGCAAGTTCTGGATCTCTTCTTTTTTAAAGTCCTTTAGGTTCTTTCTTTCTCTTCTGACATTTTTTAATAATCAGAAATAGGGCATCAGTCAGCACATTCAGCACTCTACCTGGCAATGTACTTAGCTAGAACACCCAATTAATTAGGTGCATTTTCTACTTTATACGTTACTGCAGGTGACAGAGTTGCTAAACTCCCTGCTGCTACCTAACAAGGACCCTCCCTGTTCCTTCAGTTTCTAATCCCGTTTTTCTTATTTCCCCTTAAGCATTAATCTACAGTATTTTCAAAAGCCATCGGAATTCTTCTAGCAGTTTCTTCAACACTCTCCTCCTTCCTGCTTCTCCAACTGCCCAGTTCCAAACCACTCCAACACTTCAGGTTTTTGTTATGGAAACACCTTACTCTTTGTAGTAGAATATGCATTATTGTCTATTAATTAATAATAAATTACCCCCAAACTTTGAGTCCTTTGGGGGGCAAACGACCACACTTGACGTTAGTATTGCCTTCCCATTGGGTTAGTCACAGCTGTTAGGCATTTCCAAAATGGTCAGCAGGCAGCAGCTGCGGAGGACAAGGCAGCTTGCATTTGGGACTGTTTTGTGAGTGCATGTGGGACTTTGAGAACGAAATGGTCTACTCCTAAAATAATCTGGTGTCTGCTAATGATGTGGATGATAGCTCTTGAGTTATTAGACATTTCAACTCACTACACATGTGGCAGCCTATGTTCAGAGAGGTGAAAAACTTGTTAAATGTTAGTCAGCCAGAAGGTTGGCTGCATTGGGACTCAAACTCAAAACTATTCGAGTCCATCTTACCATGTTCACCTGTGGATGAAACAGGGCATACCCCTCAATTGCCTGACTGCTTCTCAGTAACCTTAACTGTCTTTTCCTTCCAGCCATGAAATCAATTTCTGTCCCCTCCACCTGTTCCAAAGAGACAACCTGGATTTAGTAAGATTCATAACATAGTACATTTAATTAAAAAAAAAACACTCAACCCTCAAAAGTTGAGAGAACATGGTGGAATTTACAAGTCTACTGCTTTGCTGGAAGTATTTGTTCCCCCTGAGTTGGTCCCATTCTTATGTCATTAGATTGTCACTTCAGTGACTGATTTCCTTCCCCACATCCCAAGCCCCTGAAATCCCCTAAAATTCATCTCCTGCTGTTATCATATTGGCTAACACCTTATCCTGTTCAAGCCAGTGCAGTGAAATGTATCCTCAAGCCAATCCCAACTCTGCCAAAATATAAAGAATGAAAGCTCTGTGGGTGAGCCTGACACTTTTTGTTCCTCAGAAGCTGATTGAAGATGGATCTCCAAACGATTCCTCAGCCCAACATTCTTCTGAACATTTTCATTTCATTCAGTTCTTACAAGTGAATGGTTTGCTGTCTTTTAATATTATAATGCTCTAAACACCCCCAACCCCTTAAAAAAATAAGTGTATGTAAAGGTGATTCCAGATAAGTTCTGATCAAGGTATTTTAGTTTCAGTACATTCATTTCATGTTACTTGCTAAATGGTGTTAATTCCATAACCACAACAAATAATAAAAATACCTCATTTTT